TTTCCCTATAAGGTCAGGGACAAAAGAGGATGTCTACTCTCATCCATTCTATTTGGTGTTTGGGATGGTTGATATAAGTATCGACTTGGCTGGATTAAAGGATACCCCGATAGCATTATTTCTGGGTGTTCCCAGAGGAGATTGGCCCATGAGTCAGTGGACTGAGTGGGTGAGATTGTCCTTTGTATAGGCAGGCACCAGTCAGCGAGGGGTCTAGACAGAACAAAAAGTCCGAGGAAATGTAAATTCCCTCCCTCTCCCGGAGTGGAAACACACTCTTCGTCTCCTGCCCTTGGACATCAGAACTCCCAGGTTCCTCACCTTTGGGCCCTGGAGCTTGCAGCAGTGGCCCCCAGGTGCTCCGGCTTGCAACCTTAGAGTTACAGCCTTGGTCTTCCTGCTGCTGAGGCCTTTAGATTTGGGTTGAACCACGCTATTGGCCTCCTTAGTTCTCCAGCTTGTAAACGGCCCATGGTGGGTCTTTTTAGACCTCATTATCTCATGAGCCAATGCCCCTAATACATCCCCTCTCAGCTATCTATATATTTATATATCCTATTAATTCTGTCTCTCTGGGAAACCTTGACTAATCCAATATTGTGCTAGAGATTCTAGTGAGGGGAGTTTTGCATTAAAATAAGATAAGAGTCTTCATTTTAGAAAGGAAAAGGTAGGGGCCAGCAGGTAGTGTAGTTAAGGCACTGGACTCCCATGTGGTGGACAGCAGTTTGAGTCCTGGACCAAGTGACTTGAAACTCACATTGGGCATGTGTACATGTGTGCCCAAAATGCCAAGAGGAGAAGGGATTGAGGTATGGCCACCCCTCATGGGTGATGATTTCTTGCTTTCTGTCTCTCTCTTTCTCTCTCTCTCTCTCTCTGGCGAGTACACACATGATATAGCCAAAAACAAACAAAAACCTCCTAAAGAAAAGAGAATAAAGGAAAGGAAAAGGTAAAACTTTCTCTTATGCAAATGGCATCTTGTAGGCAGAAAAGCCTTAGGGACTCCTTAAACTACTAGAACTAATAAATAAGCAAGTTCAGCAAGGTTATAAAAATATAAGATCAATATACAAAGTGAATTGTATTTCTATGTATATTTGTAATAAATGAGATGATGAATATAATACCTTTTACAATAGCAGTAAAAATAATAAGATTTTGGGACCAGCAGTTAGCATAATGGCTATGTCTCCAGACTCCCATGTAGTTGACCGCAGTTTGCGTCCCGGACCCGGTGGCTTAAAACTCACGCCGGGCCCGTGTGCATGCGTGCCCAAGATCCCGAGAGGAGAATGGAGGAGAAGGGATTGCAGCGTGGCCATCCTCCCTGGGGGAGGATTTCTTGCTTTCTGTCTCTCTGTCTTTCTGGCAAGTGCATGCGCCCTATAGCGAAAAACCTCTCAAAAAAAAAAAATAATAAGATGTTTAGTAATCAATTTAACAGAAGCACAAAACATATACTTAAGCTATAAATCATTGTCTAAAGAGATTAATACAAAATAAATGGAAAACATCACAAGTTTATAAATTAGAAGACTTACTATTATTGGGCTGGGAAGTGGCATGGTAGTTAAAGGTGCCAGATTCCCACATGGCCAACCATGGTTCAAGCCCCGACACAGTGGCTTTCTCTCTCCCTTTCCCTTTCTCTCTCTTTCTGTCTCCGTCTGGTCAAATTTAAAATAGTAATATAAATAATATAAAATAATAATAATAATAACAAATGGAATTAAATAATTAAAAATAAATAAATAAGAACATGAATAAACAAATATTTTTTAAAAGACTTAATATTTTTAAAATGGTCATAGTCCCCAAATTGATGCACAGATTCAGTGCAGTTTCTATCAGAATCTCAGATGAGATGGATCTTTGCAGAAATTAAGAAGCTGATTCTAAAATTAATATGAAAATTCAAGGGACCCAGCATGAACACAATAATCTTAAAAACAGGGAACAAAATGGGACCAGCAGAATGGCATGATGTTTGAGGTACTGTATTCCAGTGAGTCCCATGGCTTGAAAAAATTCACTCTGGACGCGTATGTGTGCATGCCCAAAATCCTGAGAGGAGAATGGAGAAGGGATTGCTGCATGGCCATCTTCTCTAGGGGCTGATTTCTCACTTTCCCTCTGTCTCTCTCTGTCTCTTTCCAGTTAGTACATGTGCCCGAAAATAAAAACCTAAAGAAAGAAAAAATAGAGAGACTCAGCTTTTTTATTTCAAAACTTACTACACAAGGACAGTAATATAGTGTGATGCTGTCCAAGGATGAGGATGTAGATAGATGTAGATATAGATGTAAATGTTTTTATGAGTAGAATTGAGTGTCTAGAGATAAATCCATAACTTTTGAGTCAATTGATTTTTTTTTTTTTTAAAGATGTTTGCTTTAGAGCACGTGTGCTCGCCCAAAA